CAGTACTGGTTCGCGATAAATCTCTTTTGCATGCAAGCAACTGGCGAATTTAACATGGCGATGTCCTAGGAAGTGTCAATTGCCCCCGCTGCATCCCTTTTTCGATAGTTCCGAACTAGTCCTAAATTCTATAGTTCCGAATCAGTTCTAAAATCGACAGACGAAAGAAAAAAGTATAATGATTTTTCAATCTTTTCGGTTCTTCCGTGTGCGATTTTACATTATTTTCAAAGAAACGTTATTTCAATTTGAAATTAAATTTGTTTGAATGATTGTAAGAAATGTACGTTTACATACCTTCCTGTACCTGACTTTGCAGAGGTGCTCGCTGTTATTGGTTAGATTCCAGATGGCCCCAAGATGTTAATATGTCAACACAAAGCTTTGTTTTGTATTACCAAACTATGAAATAGCATCTGCGAAGCACAGAATAGAAGCGTATTTGAACGAAAAAACCGCCGAACACATATCTATGTAAAGTAAACAAGCCCCCCGCTGCATCCCTTATTCGATAGTTCCGAAATAGTTCTAAATTCGACAAATAGGATCTAGTTCGTTCTGCATCCCTTTCTCTATAGTTCCGAACCATTTCTAAATTCGTGACTTTAGGTATAGATTTGTAGTGAAAGAAACTGAAAAACTTAGTTTCTTAAAAGTACCACTTTTCGCCGATTTTGGATTGGTGGGATCTAGTTCCTATCGGCCTAGTTCCTTTTTGGGGGTAAAGACCTAGTACGGAACTAGAAATTTGATGCACTAGTCCGCGGTTTCCCTGCAGGGAATAATCTGATTGCTGTTTATTTCGCCTTCAAGTTGCTGGTAGAACATAGGTACGTATGTGACACTGTGATATCGCTTTGTCTCACTTGTTGTTTTCAACTTTGTTGTTTTGTTGTGCTGGTTGTCCATTTCCCTTATTTTCTGTTTTAGTAAACTTTGTATTAGGTGGTGCGGGTAGTTGTTGTTGGTTAGAATTCTGTTTATTCTATTAATGTTTGTGTCTCTAAATTGTGCGTGGCTTATTGTTAGTATTTTATGTATAAGGTTATTTTCTGTGTTCACTTTATATTTTAGGTGTTGCGAAGACAAGAAATGAAGAAATTAATTATGCGACCGCCACATGGCTTTATTTCCATGGGGAAACTGAATAAAGCCATAACCAAAAATTTTACATATGAGAAATAAAGCCATACGGTCTTATTTCAATGCATATCGCGTCGCGCCGTTCCACAGTGCCGCCTAAGTGGGCGAAAATCGAAAAATTCGTTATCTGCAATGTGAACTTGTTTCGTATTCTTACATCAATAAGCTTACAGAGAGAAGGCGTCGTGCAATAAAACTATAGGAAATAATACCATATGGCTTTATTTCACTTCACATCGAGAAATAAAGCCACATGGCTTTATATCCAATGGGGAAACTGAAATAAAGCCATAACCAAAAATTTTACATATGAGAAATAAAGCCATACGGTCTTATTTCAATGCATATCGCGTCGCGCCGTCCCACAGTGCCGCCTAAGTGGGCGAAAATCGAAAAATTCGTTATCTGCAATGTGAACTTGTTTCTTATTCTTGTAAAGACAATTTATCCACTAAAAAGAATTAAACAGACATTTCCCTAAAAAATTAATTATATGCCTCCAGGAAACCACTAAAGTCGACAAATTGTATACTCTTCACAGAAAAAAATGTCAAAAATATATTCTTTGAAATAAAATCTTGGCTTGACGTTTCTTGTTTCCATATCTATAGTAGAGAATTACAGGAATTAAAATTTAGGAATAAAACTAAACACAAGGTGTCCCTGCGGTGTTCCAGAAAAACAATTTTTTAAACAAAATTTCAAAAAATGCTAAATTTTTATGGAATAAATAAAAAATATATGTAAAATAGGTTATTTTTTATTATTTTATTAAATAGTACGGGCTTTTAGCTTTCAAAAGAAGAACCGGAAACCTGCTCATTTTTTGCACTTTCTGAAGTATTGCGTTTTTCGCTAATGCATAAAATCATTTTTGCATTTTTTGTCAGTGCCTTGAGATCTGCATGATTCGTTCCATTTTCAAAGATGAAGTGTCAGATTAAACAGCTTGACCTTTGGACAATAGAAGCATTATTCTTTTTTAAGATTTGCCACCAGTTAAGAAATTCGAATGTTAAAACATTAGATTAAAATTTTTTATAAGCTAAATGAATTATTAAGAGATGGGTATCAATCGAAATGTGTATTAGCTACATGTAAAGATTTGCCACCTGTTTAAAAAATCAAATTCCACTAGAATTAAAGGAATCAGGTAATTGAAATGGATAGGTATCACCATNGATGAAGTGTCAGATTAAACAGCTTGACCTTTGGACAATAGAAGCATTATTCTTTTTTAAGATTTGCCACCAGTTAAGAAATTCGAATGTTAAAACATTAGATTAAAATTTTTTATAAGCTAAATGAATTATTAAGAGATGGGTATCAATCGAAATGTGCATTAGCTACATGTAAAGATTTGCCACCTGTTTAAAAAATCAAATTCCACTAGA